ACGTATAATGTAATGTAATATATACATATATCTGAAAGCCGTAATCATTAATGGAAGCGAGCTGTATGTACATGTACCACCAGGTGTTTGTCTCGGCTAGGGTGATATGCGTGTCGCTCTTCCTTTTTTTTTTTTTTTTTTTTTTTCGACGTAATCGTGACACTTGCGCGATGTGTACAATACTCGGCTGGGCTATCATGGGGGAGAAAAAATAAAGTGAAATCTCCAACTCGGCGATTCTTCGATAGCTAGTTTGTTGGTGTTTTGTTACACCGTTTTCGTGTCGATGATAGTACAGCGGCTTCGCAATGAATTTTTTTTTTTTTTACAAGTTTTACACGGTGCTACTTCCTGAAGTGAATCCACTGATTTGAAAAAAATACAGCCACGGATGTTGTCGAAAATGTTCGCGTGCCCCAAGCTCCTTGTATCGGTCAACAACATCGGTCTGCGGGTACGGTTGGTCCGTCCTCGTTGTTTACCGATCTTTGCCTAAATCTTTGGGCACACGCAAAAATCGTCACGTTCGCAAAACGGTGCGAAATGTGCGAACGGAGGAAAAAAAAAAAAAAAAAGAAAGAAAGAAACGAGCACAACGCCGTAGGTGTATTATGCGATTTTTGCGAATCCCGTGCACTATGTGCGACAGTTGAGCGTGTACGCACGAGAGCTCGAGAAAGAGAGGCGTGAAAAAGGATTTCTGGGAGTGGTGTGTGTACTCAAGCGCGCTCTATTCATGCCCCGATGCTCGAACGCACGTGCAAAGTTTGCATCGTAAATTTTACAGATTCTCCCTCTCTCGGACCAACACGTTTAGCGATAACCCGAGACGTTGCTCACATGAACACACACGAGCGCGAAATCTCTTACCGATTCTTACACCGCACTTTTCACTCGATATACCAAAGATCTTTGATCCACATGCGGCTACAAGCGAGCTAATAAATTTATTCTAGTGTACATACGTGTTTGGCCGATTTTAATTACCTGCTATACCATACAGGTTTTTATTATATCAACGGGGCACTCGTGCGCGCAAACTGGTTTGGTTACGCTCGTACGGTGTAATTGCTAATGGGCCCGACGCGCGAGTGTGAGCCCAATTCGTACCGTGTAAATTTGCCTCGATTCTTCTTTTTTTTTTTTTCAAACTCTACACATCTATGTACATACATCAGCCGGAGTCTCTCTTCTGTTTTGATCCAACGGAATGTCTTTCCTGTACACGAAACACCGAAGCTAAAGGATCCATCTCGATATTTGATGGGTAATCAATCACAGCTCGAAACGATTCATCAACGATCTTCGATCGCAGCTCTGATTTCTCGAAAGAAAATCTCCCGAGGGACACGAGTGATGTACATATCTCCGGAGTCCCCGTGGGGCATATAAAACACACGTTATTATCATTCGGCGCGTAAACACGCGTCCTCGATGCCGCGCAGCGTTTGAATCTCAAATTACCATAAGGTCGCGCCGTGAGCAAACGCTTCGCAACGCAATATATTACACACTTACTTTTCGTCCTTCGCGCGTAAAAAAAAAAAAAAAAAAAAAAATCGGCGCGCGTGTGTGCCTCCCCCCCGAAAAATCAGGTCCGACAGCTGGAAGCACGTATCTTACGTATATACAGGAGGCATTAAGAACCTATCGGTACTCGCGACATTGAAACGTCGTACCCTGTGTATTACACACACATATACTTATAAATGCAGTGGCCGCGAGACGACGACGATACATATAGTGTATAATATATACGCCACTGTACCACCTTAACCAATTCCCCCCGACTGGCTCTGTCCGACAATGCCGTGAAACGGCCGCTACGCCGACATTGACCCGAATTTCGTCGCGGCCGATTGGCTGCGATCGGCCATACGTATATATCTTTTTGTTTGCTCTGTTTTTTTTATTTATTTTTTTTTTCATTCCCCAACTTCAAAGTCTCGCAGCGAGTTCGCGCTTTAATCACACGCGCATACGTGTTAGGCCCCATTTCTTTTTTTTTTTCCTTCGCAACCTGCACCGATAATCCATACACAGACCGTTAGGCATACCGATCTCTCGTGCGTTCCCGTCAAGCCTGCCGCGCCTAATGATTTAGCGCCACCATCCGCACTCCTATATACGTATCGATCAAAGCCCGAAAAGGTGCGCCTCGAATCAATGGATACTGTTACGCTGGTGAAAAAGTACACGCAATTTGCGAAATTCCTCTCTCGGTGTTTTATCCCAACCCACCTATTTTTTCTTCGGGTAAAATCACCGTGTACCAAAGGGTTATTGGATACACTTGTAAAGTCTGCCCTTTCTCGCCGGAGGTGGGTGCAAAAAAAAAAAACAAAAAAAAAATCGCGCGTGTGTGCTCCGATGGTCGGGCATCAAAATCACCGGTATAATATGGTACACGCTACACCGATGGGAACGAAAGAGAAAAAGAGTGAAGGATACACACACGTACGCGGCTCATATACGTATATAATAAATACAGTACGCTCTCGGTCTTTCTTTATCGGGCATTGGAGTCTCCCTCGCTATCCAGTGTCTACGTGTGACGCTGGTTGTTACTCCGCGGAGCTTATATATACGTGTATTCGCATCGTGGAACGTCCCCCTTTTTTTTTTTTTTTTTTTTTGCCCGATGTCAGGGCGTTTCTTGCACTGCACTCTCGTACACTTACCCGCGTCTGATGTTACTTTCAGCGAGATTCCCCGTTTCGCGTACATTACTTTCCTCCACGAGCCGCCAAGAGATGCTGGTGTACCGTGATCGTGCGAAAGGAATGAAAATAAAACAAAAAATAAAACGACTGGTAATGTCAAGTGCGATGCTATTGTTTTTTGGATATTACGCACACACACTCGCGTATAAACATGCAAGTAAGTGAGAGGAAAGTTCTTGCGGGGCCATTATTTTCCAGGTGACGGTGTCGAGGGCCTCTTTACGACCATACGTATGCAACCCGTTCCTACGAAGAGCCGTCCGGCTTTGTCTTCTCGCACGTACATTTTTTCTTCTTCTTCGTGCTTCGTTCGCTTCAGTGTATACCCATACTTGACTCGCGTTTCGCTCGAAAAGGGGGCCCTTTAATGCACTCTCTTGGAACAAAAATGCCTTTTTCAGGGAATAACCGTGACGGTGCGCTTTCGGCAACGCCCCAAAGAAAAACACGTGAGTGTACAATAACGCACGCCTCTACCTGCTTGAAAATCCCGAAAAATACCGCGGTGAGAAAAGCCAAAAGGGCGGGAGGTGGACAAAGTTCATATATCAAGTGTACTTAGTCGGGGATCGGGACAGTGGGGAGAAAAAAAAAAGAAAAGTAAATAAATAAACAAAACAAAGTATCGGCAAAGGGTCATCGAGTCAAAAGTGACTCAATGCGCTCCGTCATCAGCTGCAGGGTACGTTACAAAAATAGAATCGTAGATCGTTTCTGGAATAAATCGGCGTCCTTCGATTTTCCGACTTTCGAGCGATACAGCAGAGAAGGAGGAAAAAAAAAAAAAATAGCGAGCTGTAATTGCCGAGATTTACTGTTAATGGCTCAACGATTTAATTGGCGCTACAGAGATGATTAATCCGCGTCGACGCGTGTTTCTCGCGCGAGCTCTTCCTCCTATAGCTCGTATGTCAATCTCGATTTTTGGTGCTAATAAATCGAGAGTCAGAGTCCCATCGTATTCCCGATGAAACGGAAGCACGAGGATTTCTCGGAAACGATGGTGTATAAAAAAAAGAAAGGGACGTCGATCGAAAGAGAAGAAAAATATCCTCCGGTGTGTCGATGGACCGCGCGGTATTTTTTTTTTTTTTTTTTTTCCTCCTACTCCTCCGGTTCTCAATTTTTACGAAAGTCCAAACGGGTTTCGAAGGTTACCTAACGCCCGCGCGTGTGTCTCGGCGCGAGAGAGCGACCCCCGCCATTTTGGATGCTCTAGGCATATATTCGTGACGTATAATACGTGCTGACGTAATCTCCTATGCCCTCTATTGCGCAAATGAAAGAACGGTGCCTTTTATTTTTATGCTCATCGGCACCGTTTTCGATCGCTACAAGTACGCGTATACTCTCGGTATTTCGTGGAAGATATGCACCTTTGCTCCAACCTCTGCTTTTTCTCTTGTCATTGGTGCCCCCTTTGGTCTGGCTTGGAATTTTAATTTTTATACCTCCTTCGCGTATATAATTTATATGTCCAGTTCTGTGCCATCGTTTTTATTTAAGAGAGTTACGCCACATTGCGATTAATCATCAACACACACGGTCTAACATTTAAGTATGTCCCCGTACGTCGATTCATCGCAATGAGAGAAAAAAAAAAAAAAGTTCTCGTCGCTTAGTTAAACACACACGTAAGCAGCGCCGATTTCACTTTTTGGCCCAACAGCGTGTACAGCTAAATGCACTAAACACTTTAATATACTTGCCCGTAAGTGCTATTGCGTTGTAAGTATATGTGTATATGTTGTGTACATTAGTCTTGCGGTCGGTCTCTCCTTCCCACGGAGAGAAAAGAAGAGACGCGGCTCCAATGATATGAGAGCTCCTTTGTGCAAGCGTATTATGTATATAATATATGTATACCTGTACGCGCGGAGTGTGCGAAAGAAAAAAAAAGAAAAAAAAAACAGCTCCCTCGTTTCCGCTCGGCGGAACTCTCTGTGTCAAAGTCAAGACGACTATTACGAGGACGACCGTGTTATATATATATACACGCGCTCGCGATTTGCTTAGACGCCCACCTTGTACAGGTAGCCTCTTGTAACGCGCTGTTCCTCGAGCCGTTGCGCAGCTGCCACGAGACAGCTGCTCGCGAATCCACTGCTCTTGGTGATTGCTTTTTTTTTTTTTCTTCCTCTCTTCTCTCTTTTAATTTAGCGCCCATACCTATATATAATATATAATGAGCGCACTGGTAATTGATTATTGCCAAAGACGAGTTTCACAAAGGGGCAAAGAAAGCGAGAGATGTGACGATTTTGTTTTCGGTTGCAGGTCGAGACAAGCAGTCGGACGATGAGCGGGTCAAAAGCCCCGAGTCGTCCATCTCCCGAGCCGGGGGTTCGCCGGCCGGTGGCCCGCCCCTGGCATCCGTCGTCCCGGCGTCGCTGTCAGCCACCGCGAGCCGATCCAGCTCGAGTTCACCGTCCCCGAGTTTACCAACGACGACGCCGGCGCGGCGCTTCATCTCGAGCATCCTCGGGGGCGACGTGCCCTACGGCAGCCGGAACCACGTGCTCAGCCGGGCCGCGACGAGGCCCGACGGCCAGCAAAAACTCGGGGTGGCGGTCAAGTCCGAGCGGGTCGAGCTGCCGAGGCCGGTGACGCCGCCCCGCACCCCGAGACCTGAGCCCCCGACCCGGGTCTCGGTCATACAGAGGGTGCCCCCCAAGGCCCAGAGCCTCAGGCGCGACGAGACCAAGATCGAGCTGCCACGCGCCCAAGAGCCGGAACAGGTGAGTCCACGTCAACAAAATTTGTCCCTCCTCCTCCCCCAAGTCCACATTCTCTACACAACACCGACCCACGTGTGTATATATATTGGTTTGAAAAAAAAAAAAAAAAAAAAAAGAGAAGAGGGAAAAAAACGAGGCTCATTCTCCCTCTCTATTCCTCTGCGCTTGTATTAATCGACGTTATGGTGTCTCGCTCGCACCACGCTGTGGCAGACCGCAGCCGCCCTTTTCCGCTGCCCGCCCTCCGCATTTATACATACATGTATACTTCTGTTATGGTAAACCGAACGCATTGTGTTCGTCGAGGATGGAAAAAAAAGATTCGGATAGGATTTTTTCGGGGGGGGGGGAGGAGCGGAGGGAGACTTTTTAGGAAAATAAATACCACAGCCGATACATCGAACGGAACACGGGGGCTATTTTTATTTTTATTTTTATCTCTTTTTTTTCTTGCTCTCTGGGTCCTTCTTCTTCTTCTTCTTCTTTGTTTTTTGCGGCCTTTTAAAGGAGCCTCGGCCCCATATGCGCTTGACCCGTGGTTTTTTCGCGCGTGTCGTAACGATAAAAAATTAGTTTTACGAATAAACGACCACCGTTGTTGTTGCCGTTATAGACCTCACGCGTTTGTTTGCAACTTTATTATTCGATTCTTGGTAAAATGCCAAGGTTTATTTTTTTCCTCTCTATTAATAATATCGATACACGTGATTTTGCGTTGCACTCGAACGGTGATTTCAATGCCTCGCCGAGAGTGAAGGTGAGAGCTCGACTTTTTGATCGCTTCGATCAACTGGTATTCGTTGGAGGATTTACTGAAAAAAAAAAAAAAAGAAAAAAAATGCATCAACCAACAAAGAATTTGATTAAATTTTTTTTTTTTTTTTTATTGTTTTGTCTCACCCCTCGGTGCCCAACAAAACACAGCGACAACGCGTTACAAACGGTACGTATACGCATACCGTAAACCGCATAATATATATTGTTACACGTGTGCCTATTCTTATATGTATATATCATGTACTCCACCTACAAAAAACAGATAGTACAATACGTATGTATGTGTATTTGTGTGCCCGCGCTATACATACAACCCGACCCCAGCGCAACAAAACGTGCACACAATGGACGAAGGTGCGANAAAAAAAAAAAAAAAAAAATCCCTCAGGACCAGCCGATCGACTACGCGGTGCCGAAGCGCAACAAGAACAAGGATTCCGAGGAGAGTGGCAAGGAGCGCGGTCGGGAGGGGGCCAAGGCGACGCGGGCGCCCGTGGCCGGGAACTCGATAGCTCGGCCCCTGCTGGCCATGAGGTTGAGCGCCACCGGGCCCCAAGTGCACTCGGCGGCCAGCGGCCACGGCAGATCCAGCAACGCGAGCGGAGGCGGTGGAACCCACCACCAATCGGGTGGCTCCTCTGGCTCGGGTGGCTCCGGCTCCTCCGGCTCGGGTGGTGGCTCGTCCGGCTTCGCCTCGGGCGGTGGTGGCGCTGGTGGCGGTGGAGTCTCGGGTGGCAGCGGGGGCGGTATGAACCCCGGTGGCAACGGGGGCAGGGGCAATTACGGGCCGAGCTCACCGCCCACGGGCTCGCTGCCCCCGTTCTACGAGAGCCTCAAGGGTGGCAACAACCTCGCCAACTTTGCCAACCAGTACAACGGTGAGTGCCGCTTTTGGCCCCCTCCCCCCGACTTTTATGTTTTGTGTAGACGTATTGTAATATGATGAATGGATCGGGCAACAGGCAACGGGTACTTGACGGCGTCGCCGGCGATGGGGATGGAGTGCGATACCGGTCAGGACGGCTCTTTGAACCCGCAGCAGCACCCGTACGCGGCGCAGGAGGCCAAACAGTACTCGCTCCTGCAGAACGTGTGCGCGTCGTACGGCATCGGGGTGAAGGAGGAGGAGGACCTCACGGTCTACAAGATACCCTCGAACGACCTCCTCGGCAGCCAGTACGGGGCTTACGACGTGGCCGACTCCAACATGATGCTCGACGTCTCGGGGGCGGTTGGGGATCCGCTTCAGTTCTCGGCGACCCTGACCTTCAGCTCGGACCACACGGCCCTCCTCGAGAGCCTAAGCGACGCCGCGGACCTGTTCAGACTGCCGGTGGAGGAGACGGCCGGTGAGCTGCTGGACGAGGCCCTTCACTCGCCCGGGTCGGCCGGGAGCAACGGCATGACGGCCCAGGACGGCTCGCTGGGCACGCCCGTCGAGCCGAGCGTCGATCCCTTCCCCGAGCACAGTATCGGCCTCGCGCGTGCCTTCGACCACCCCAGGTATGCAATCGTGTACTTTTTTTTTTTCTACCATAATCTTACGTGTGTACATGCGGATGAAGACAAAACGTGTATACAGTGCTAACAAAGTACGAGTATTTGCAGACATTACGGGGTGCCGCAGCATCACTTTGGCTCGTCGAAGCTCTCGGGGCTCTACTCGAACGGGGCCACGGGGGACTCGGGCTACCAGAGCTTATCCAAAGAACGCTCCGAGCTGGCCCTCCACGGCGAGCCCCAGCAGCTCCAGCAGCTGCAGATCCAGGTCCAGCTGCAGCAGCAACAGCAGGCCATGTCGCCGCACCAGCATCACCACCATCAAGGTTTGCTGAGTCCTGGTCTCAGCTTTACTGGCAGTGGTGGGCCTCTCTCTCTCTCAACTAAACCACTCTTTCACTCCACCCCCCCCCCCGACCATCTTCTTCCCTTCCCTTTAGTGTTGTACCATACTAACTGGGTGTAGATGAATCAGCAGTAGCTTCATGATAATACATAATTAACTCTATCGGTTGGCTGATGTGACTTTTAACCCTCTGTCCGATTAACGCTGTATACCATGCACGGCCCATTTAAAATACAAGCAGCTCCAATGTAAATGGAAATTGATGTTGTCGACAGGATTGGAACTAGATTCGGGTAGCAGTGCGGGTGGTAGCTTGCCGAGTCCCGGAGCGGGTAGCTGTTCGTTGGACGCTACCTCGACCAGCGCGTCGCCGGCTTGCGGGCTGATGGACCACGCGCCGAGCCCGTCCGGGGTACCGTCGAGCACCTCCTCGGCCACCGGCGAGCCTCCGCTCACGCAAAGGGTTGGTGTACTCCAACAGAGGGTAAGCAACTCGGCTTGATCTCGGCAAAGGCATACGCGCGTCTGATTTTTTTTATATTTTATCATTCCGTCTCCAAAAGTCGTTTATCCATACACGTATGTATACATATATATATATGCAATGCCAATCAACTTGAGGGTGCTTAATCCGAAAAATTCAATCATTCAGATTGTTTGTCGTTACTGACGCATCCTGCGAGCTATCTCGCTGTGTGTAACTCTCGGCTAACGAGGCGTTTTTGTTTTTTTCCTTTGCAACACAGTTGGGACTTCCTGGCGACGTGCAGCTGGAATTCGTCAACGGAGGCCACGGTATCAAGAATCCATTGGCAGTCGAAGGCCAGCGGCAAACGACGGGCACGCGTGACGAGGAGCGCGCCGCGAGACCGCCAACCGGCAAGGTAACGCAATTTCCTTTCGTCGAGCCTCTCGCACTTTTTTTTTTTTTCCTCCGATTGTTTCCCGATCTTTTGTATTTTATACGGCGATCTTGACATTTTTCTTGCCCCGCGTTCTTCCTGTTGCGCGCGCTTTAGGAAAAAAAAAAAAAAACAAAGAGACTCAAGGTCCGTGCAGTCAAGTTCATGACTAACGCGCGCGCGAGAAATCGCATCATCGGTAGAGCAAAAAAAAATGTCAAGGTCTACTCCTACGCCGCTCCATATTATGTCCTAGTAGCTAATGCGTGATTAGAGAAAACGGTATAGTTGCCACTAGACGCGTATTCGAACCACTTGGGTTTTCCCGTTGCAGGAGGACGATCCGAACAGGTTCGCCTGCCGGGTCTGCAACAAAAACTTTAGCCTGCAGCGATTGCTGAACCGACACATGAAGTGCCACAGCGACGTCAAGCGTTACCTGTGCACCTTCTGCGGCAAGGGCTTCAACGACACCTTCGACCTCAAGAGGCACACCCGGACGCACACCGGGGTACGGCCCTACAAGTGCAACCTCTGCGAGAAGAGCTTCACCCAGAGGTGCTCCCTCGAGAGCCACTGTCTCAAGGTCCACGGGGTCCAGCACCAGTACGCCTACAAGGAGCGTCGCACAAAGGTAACAAATACACCACCACATTGTCTTGAAGCGCCTCTCGTTTGTCCTTAACCGTGAAAAACACTCAACGTGTTCGGTACGACCAACAGGTGTACGTTTGCGAGGAGTGCGGCCACACGACGCAGGAGCCGGAAGTTCATTACCTCCACCTGAAGGACAAGCACCCCTACAGCCCGGCCCTCCTCAAGTTCTACGACAAGCGGCACTTTAAGTTCACGAACAGCAACTTTGCCAACATGCTGCTGCAGGTGCGCACGTAGACAAAAAAAACAAAAAAACGAACACAAAGAAGAAAAACACGAGCCGACCTTGCGTTGTATAAATTGAAAAGCGAACTATCATTATCATTATCATTTTACTATTAGTTACAAATATTATTTTATCACTGTCATTATAATTATAATTATTATTAATCTTATAATAACAAGTAATTTAATCAACACTGTACGAAAATTGTTATGGACGCGCGAAATCCGTTGCTCGAAACAGCTCTGTTCATCGTTGCTCTGCCTTCGCTTCGTTCTTCCGGTTGAGATGGTCTTGAAAATAGGGTGACTCCAACGAGCGAACGAAAAAAAAAAAAAAAAAAAAAACAATAATAATAATAATTTGCAACGATAAGCAAAGTTACAAAAATCTTCCGTGCACACGCGCGTGTACATGCGCAGTACGAAAAAAAAAAAAAAACAACCAAAAAAAAGCAAAAAAGAGAAAAAAAGCACAAGTGACAACTGCTCGTGTGAATCTCCAGGGTGGTCTGCTGCAGCGGGACTCGCGAAACGCCGACAGCTGCGTCAAGTCCGCCTCCAAGGGGCTCGCGACGACTCAGCTGCGCCGGGCCTCGACCATCCTCCACATGGGCCGAGCCACCACGTTCTAACCCCGAGATTCTGCCGCAACTGTTATAGCATCGGGGATGACGACTCGAGGGAGCGATTTACCCTCTGTTTTATATATGCATACATATGTATGTATATTGATGCATGCACGGATGGACGATCGACGAAGGCGATGTACAGATGATAACGAGACAAAATACTATATATTTATTATTATTTTATGGCACACGTTCAGTATTTAACGTATCGACTCTGTTAGGCAGTATAATTACAACTTATTACTCTATTATTATTTTTATTTTTTTTTTCTCCAGCAAGTTGCGTTTACGGGGAGGGTGGGAGGCGGGTACCTATATGTTAGTTTTTAAATCTTATTCGAGGACTGCGTTATTATATATAAAATAAAATACGTTTAGCCTGGCCCAAAGACTTGGATTCAACGTTTCAGGAATGTTATGTAAAACTGCGGTGCGTTTTTACTCCTCCCCCGTTTTTTTTTTTTTTTTTTTTTTGTTTTTCTTTTTCAATGCAAAGTGTATTGTTGTGCTCCGCGGTCCGGTTGTCTGGTTCACTTGCGATCGATCGATTCAAAGAGATGTACGGCACGTTACGTTGCTTTCCGACTTTGCGGGCTGTATTTTTTTTTTTTCTTTTTTTTCGAGGCAAGAGGTCTTTTACGTTTTTCTGTAAGGATAAAAGTGTCACTGTTGACATTTTTAAGCAGCGACTGGTTAACGACTGAAGAAAAAAAAAACGTTTGATACGTAATACAATGAGATCCATACGCAATCAACAAGCTATAGACTTTATGGAATATTAATCACTGCTCGACGTTGGGGATCTCTTGAGAACTAAGGAACAAAGGATCAATTCTATGGTGTACTATATACAATTTATACATATGATATATGCAAAGAAGATTGCGTTATCGCAATCATCGATCGACTGACGTGGTAGATACTTATATATGTTTATCATGATAATGTACTTACAGCGAGGGAGAATATAATTTTTTTTTTCTATTCTAATCATTCATTTGTGTAGAGTTTACGCGCACTTTGTTGAATAATGTAACCTGTGATATAGAGCGACAGAGAAAAGCATGTTTAAACTATTTTTCGTCTCGCGCATAAAATAATGTACACATCGAAATTCGCTTCAGTACTTATATGTTTACATTGGAGCCATTGTGCTCTATACGAGGAGGATTTTTGTCATTGTAGTTTATATGCTTGCGCGCGAAACATTATTATTGATTACTATGAAAATACATTCCCATGTACTTAGTACCTAAATATATATATATATACATGTACACGTGTGAGTATTATTTAATAAAAATACGTACGCGTGCACTTTGCAAAATAATTCACAAATCGGGATTTCGTGCAATTTTTCTCGGTGGTAGAAACGAAACAAATCTCGTAAAATTTATGTATATGTAAAACGAGATAGCCGACGTTGATCTTGTACTTGTTGTATCTTTTTTTTTTCTTCTCAATACGGCGGCAAGAAAAATACAGGGGACTTGAAAGGTGCTCTTCATAAATCAAGGGAGGAATTAAATCTTCTTGTAAGGTGAACGAAAGACGAGGTGCTTTTCCACATAATACACAGTTTCAACGCGTTAATGCATTCCGAGCAGATATATTGTAAATAGTACATTAATAAATATATATATAAATATACAAATTTGTTTTATAAGTACGTTATAGGACGTTTCATTACAATTAAGACAAAAGAGAGATAAATATACTATAATAAGATGGAGCTGGTTGACGAGAATCTCGAGATGTAACGTGGATCGAGTATTTATTATATTTTCCAATGAAGAAGTGTAATTAATATTTTGCAACGAAATATAATATATATGTATACACGCTATATATAAACTTATTTATAATAAAATCAATGTTTCCTTTGCAACGACAAAGATTTCCTTTCAACTTTTATTCAATTATCGATTATTATGTTGTTTTCGATGTGCGTACACACAATTTAAATTGTGGTCGTTATAATATTATACAATTGTAAAGTTCTCGTTTTAAGCAAAAAAACTATTTATGTTGGTGACTGTAAATAACTTTTGAACGACATTTTGGCTGCTTTCCAGGCCAGCGTGGCTCAAAATTTTAGTCTTAAAAATTTAGTACCTTGCGTATTTTAATTATCATTTAAATTAAGAATAATCATATTTTGTATCATAGCGAGAGATTGTTAGTACATTTTAATCATTATAACATAACAATATACTATTTGTATTATTATTAATATTATTATTATTATTATTAATCGATGGATGATTCATTAAAGAGTAACGAAACAAATGCGAACAAAAACAAGAAATCTTATTTTATCCACTCTAATACTCAAGAGAATGAAAAAATCAGTTATAAAATGATGTTGCAAACGGCGCGATTCCATCTGCATTACATTTAACTATTTAATTTACATTCAGTATTGTTTTACCATCTTTGCTGCTACCGTCAAATTTTGTACTTTGTTGACGATTTTTGTTGTTGACCTCAGGGACCAAAAAAACAATACAATTTTTCTAAACGCATAGACTTCACTTTGAAAACAATCATGATAATTTTTTTTTTTTTTTTCATTAGTACCTCTGTATTATTATCGTTGATAATATAACGGTTACTACCCTTATTAATATTATCACATCATTGATATAGCTAAATACATTATTATAAATATATTTATCATCGTTAAGACCAACGCATACAAATGTTATTATAGTATATGATGAAGAAGTGCATACCAGAGATTGTATGCGAAGCGCGATTTGAACTACGTCTACACTAAATAAAAAAAATATCCCAATGATTTTATTGCGCGCTTATATGAATTTCCTGATTGTAAAAGCTGCGTAATTAGCGTTTTGCAAGTATGAAAATAAATAATTTACAGCACAAAGAGTTGAGTGTATTATCAAAGTTTTGTGTCTTTCCCAACTATCCTGTTTCCGTGAGAAAATAAAAAAAGTTTGAAAGGACATGATAACAAGAAAAGAATTTTTAAAGGAAAGTTTTATTTTTTGAAAAAAATACTTTTATTATTTTAAATGCAATGCTGAGCACAACAAATATAAAGCACTGTGGTTCAGTCTTTAAAAATATAAATATAACAACTAGCGTCATGTGCATTTTAACATTGACTATATAAAAATATACAGTGTCACTTTATGACAAAGTGTGCATTTGAAAAAAAAATATAGTCTTAGTACTTGCGGCCAATTGGATATTGATCTCTATTTATTAGACTACAACTCCTGGATGTGTTTTATCTGAAACAAAAGTATATTATACGATATGAGACTCCAACAATTGAAAATACTAAAAAATTCCAGCGGTCCAAGGGATGCACATGCTTTTGTTTCCACGACTAGCAATCTTAAAAGCTTTCACTATTTATACTACTTATCTACTCACTACTGATAACAGAGTTGATTGACATAAACCTAGGCTTAGCAGGAACTTTGGGAGCAGTTTTTCTTGGCCTTGCTGTCCTATCATCAGCATTCAGCAACTGCAACTGAAATAATTAAAGTTTTAAGAACATTTGTCCAAAAGCTGGTGGTCTATAAGATAATGTAGTATATACCTGCTGATCGATAGCATTGAACTGCCACTTCCAAGTGTGATTATACAGAAACTGCCTATGATCGAATCTATTATCATCGGGACTGTAAGACTCTGCGTGACACGAAGGAGTCAAGATTGTCATCTTGTGACGATTTATAGCATAACAGCGATAAAAGTGCTTGACCTTATCTGCCACCTTAAATACATAATTTTGATCCATTGAGTAATCTCTATACAATAAAAAAAAAAAAAAAAAAAAAATTGCATTACTTCTTTTGGTTGAAGATCATCCCAAGTGTTAACCAGTTTGCAGAACATGGAAAACGGTCCAGCACAGTTTTGCTTCCTCAGCCTGCCGAAAATTCCTAGATCGTTGTAAGTCATGCCCATGTCAACTTCGTCGAGTTGTGCGAGCTGACCGCTTTGGAGGGGCTCCAATTCAGCCGTCGGCAGTGCCTCCAAAATATCATCGAGCGCAGGAATGCGATACTTATCCCTGTAAGTCATGTAAATGCCTTAAAAACGAGCAAGATGATAAAAACTACTGTTGAACGTTCTTTATTACCGAAAGTACACGAGAAACTTCTTCAAGTCGTTTTTGGCTATTCCACCAATGGGATTCACGTCGGCGCTGCTGCAGTCGTACTTTGTAAAGTAGCCCCGCAGAGCTTCGTCGACGTTACTACTACCGAGAACCAAGAGCCCGCCCGGCCTGCCCCTCACCCACAGCATCAGTTGAGCAAACAAGTAAGCTACGACCATACGTACTCTGGCCTTGAATCATCAATATACATCATCGTACACGCGAAAAAGAGAGGAGAAAAAAAAAAGTAAAAAAAGTAAAATCAACAAAGACAATAAAAACAATGAGTCGTGTTTTGCTTTTGCGAGAATTACTTGAATGTTCTGAAGAGCGAGGTTCTCTCTCGGCGAGCCGCCTTGAACCTTGAATCTCGGCGTAAGCTTGGTCACTTGGTTGAATATCCCAAGTATAGCCGATATAGCCGTATCGATGATTATACTGTGGTGGTAGGAGCCAATTTGGCAGGCGAGCTCGGCAGCCCTGGCCTTTGTGTCTGCCGACGAGTTTTCCGTGGCCATATAACAAGTGACGAGCAGCGTGTTGCACAGCTGTTTCGGATCGGTCGGCTCGTATTCCGGATCCCCGACGATTTTACGGATGTCGGCGAGCACCTGTTTGTCTGCGATCGTTACAAATGTCAATTAAATCGTGATAATTTATAGGACGATCGTGAAAAACGAAACAACTATATACCTCCTTTTTGCACGGATTCGACGATCATGCAGCACATCGAGTAGACCAAACAGGCCGTGGAGGATGAGTCGACGCCACCGCTCAGGGGTAAGAAGAAGCCTCCCTGGCACGATCGTCTGTCGCATGAATAACGTATTTGTTGGAAGGGTTATCGTTATCGCACACACACACACACACCACCATTTCAACGGAACGTGGTGGGAGGGGTCATGGGTATTTCGTTATTACCTGAGATAGTCCCATAGCCAGCAGGCGGGGGCCATGGAAATTTCTTCCTCGGGCGTGTGAAAGGTAATTTTAGACTCGTGCGCCTCGGGGGGCTCTGCATCGCGTCGCTGACGCTCAGGCTCATTGGATGAAATTAGACTCTCCGAGGTTATTGCGAAATCGACTTTTACTCGCGGGTAGGGGTGCGCCCTCGCGGCCAAGTGGGACCGGGAGCGCAAGTTATTTCGGTAGCTCCTAATTCATCATACAACAAAATAAATGAGCGGCGAAAACCGAGGCTTTTCTTTGTTTGCTGTTATTTATTTTCGCGCGCAATTGGCAATTGTTGCAAAGGAAAGAAAAGTAAAAGAATAACAAACAAAACGCGGGCAAGTACACAATATGCACCTAAAAATATCGAAATTCCTCTCTGTTTACCTAATGTCCTCGAGGTCGACGCTGGCGACGACGACTTCGACCTCCTCGAGCGCAAACTGTTTTCCGCGATTGAGAATGCGCCCGTTCAAGGCGATGCTCGTGCCACCGGCAAAGTATACCCTGGCACCGTCGCAGCCCCGCAAATTGCTGAACATATAACAGCCGCCCGATTTAAAAGTAGCCGACTTTAGCAGATCCACAGTCACGTATGCTTTTCTCAGTTCGAAGTACGAGCCGCTGCCTGTAATATTATTATTATTATCATCATCATCATCATCATCATTATTACTCATTTCTCTGCGGCAACATCAACAGTAGCCGTGGCGTCGCGCGCACGCAAAAGTGGCTCGCCGTGCGCGCGAGGAGCAGCCTTTGCTCTCTTGGCTGGCTGTTGTAGCAGTGATGCGTAATACTTAACAGGAAGAGAGAAAATAAGAAAAGTACAAGCGACACTCGGCACTCACCGTTTGCTATTATCTCGACACCGTCGAGTGCCATTGGGATGTGATTGCTGGCCGGATTCCAGAGCTCCTCGCAGATTTCGAAGCCTATGCAAGTGTCCCTCGTCGAGATAACGGCGTCGCCGAACGGCACGATCGTCTGGCTCGTTATTTGGGCTATCATCCGCGGCAGAAAGTAATCCTCCACGATTCGCTCCTGGCGATGCGAGTGGCGAAAGGTAAGTGCTTTTAATAAATTTGCACCGCTTCCTTCTCCATGAATAACAATTGCATCTATTCGCGACTCGATTCTTAACCTACCGCTGTACGAGTGTTTGTTTGTTTGTTTGTTGTTGTTTTTTTTTGGACAGACAACCCGCGGCGAGCCTTCATTCAATGCTATGCTGTTTTGCCCAGCGCGATGAGTTGATAGAAAATTTTCAAGTTACCGAATAAGCAGTAAAAAAAAAATAAAAAAAAAAAAAACCAGTTCGAACGGAACGGAAGGAAAAAAAAAAAAAAAAAAAAAAAAAAACACCCCCTCGTATATATAATTGTGGAGGAGAGGTCCCGATGAAAAGGGATTTTCGGCGATTCCCGCGTGTGCAGCGCGCGCTTCGGATGTTCTCACACTCTCGGTGTATCTGTAGTATTTTTCGTAGCTCTCGCCACNCACGAACTACGTAATTTAGACCTTTTTTTTTTTTTTTTGAACTTCGATCGTCAAATGCGTCCTTTGCAAACGCGTCTACACCATAAAACCACCAAAAATTTTCAAGTTACCGAATAAGCAGTAAAAAAAAAATAAAAAAAAAAAAAACCAGTTCGAACGGAACGGAAGGAAAAAAAAAAAAAAAAAAAATAGTAAAAGTGCGAATTTACATAACCCTCGCACGGAGCGGAGAATAAAGATAAAAGCGTCGAGACAAAGCGCACCTTGGTCCACGGGGAGAACCACCTGGTCTCCCGGTAATTGCCGTTCTCGCAGAGCTGCATCTTCGGGCGGATGAGGACGATTCTCCGGTTGAGAAAAGCCACTCGGCAGTTGTAGGTGACGTTCTTGTGCATGACCGGCATACCTACATCGACGAGCATGTCCTCGCACTCCGGGGACTTGAGCAGCAACGCCACCACCTCCCAGCAATGCAGCAACGTGTCCGACTCGTAAAAGTGATCCTCGCAGCTGTAACCGCTGCATGACCGACACCACGACAAAGTAATTTTTTTTTTGTTTTGTTTTGTTTTTGTTCATAGATCAAAAAAACTCTACATCATCTCGCCCTCGTTACACATATATACCTAACTTCCAACTCGGGTCCACTCCTGTACGTGGCCCCGGCCTCTTTGGCCATCCTAATGCTCAGGAGGATCCTCCGGTGGTTGCCCTCGAAATCCATGGCCCACTGGTTGAGGGTGCAAGCCGCGACGGTCGCCGTCCGCCCCATGATTTACAGCTAATCTATACGCGATTACAATCGGAAGAGAGAAAGAGAGAGAAAAAAAAAAAATCAACATATCATCACCAGAGCTACACTTGTGGGTGACTAACTATCGGCCAAAGGGAAAGGATGATGAGGACCTACTCGGCCGATTGATCGATATCACCTTAACGCCGCTACAATCTCCGACAGCTCATGGGCTGTGTTACACCGCAGGAGGGAGGAGGGGGGTGGTGGTGGTGATTATTTTTAGAGATGTGTGCCGGCTTGATGATGAATTTCGCGCTATAGGGATATACGATGTACGTACACGTAACGAGAAAGAAGAGAAAAAAAAAAAAAAAAAAAAAACCAGACTCAAGTGTATATAGGTACGAAATTAAACACGCGCGACCGAGTTACCAAAAATATTCCAAAATAAACGCTCCCGAGGAGGAGGACAAAAGAGCGCGGCGTAGAAGCGGCAGCTACTTTTCATCCATAAATCAGACCGAAAATAACGCGGCTGTCGCTGCAGCAGCAACCGGTCCAACTGCACATGTCTACGCGGGCGAGGGGGGAAGGGGAGCAATTAAAGCGCAATAATAAACAGATAAATCAATTAGAGATGAAAGAGCTGACGCGCCGATTAAAATAGCGCGTGTCTCTCTCTATCTATCTAGCGTTGATGTATCACGGGGGGGGGGGGGCACTCTTGGCAAGGAGTACACCTATACGATCGATCGACGGCTCTCTGGCTGCGGTTCAAAATCCGCGTATCCGCGTAGCCCTGAGAAATCCACGTATATACGTGGGTAAAGTAGCGTCCGGCTCTTTTCCCGCGGAATAGTTTAGGGGGCGATCACCGCGCTTCGTCCCATGGAAGGGGGGGGAGAGGGAACGTCGATATATCGGGGCGAGAAAGAGGAGTGGGTGCGAGCCACCCCCGTCGTCAAGGAAGCCCGAAGCTAGCTCAGAGGCGAAAACGCCAGTCGGTGTCTGGTTCCGCAGGTTGAACGAACGAGCCGATGGGGACCGGGTCTATTTTGGATTGTTGATCTTTTTTTCTATTTTTTTTTTTTTTTTTTTTTTTTTTTTTTTTTTTTTTTTTTTTTTTTTTTTTTTTTTTTTTTTTTTTTTTTTTTTTTTTTTTTT